CTGACGCGCTGCCGACGTCAGCAGGGAATTTAGGAAACGGGAAGAGGGGCTATTTATAGTGGCGAGGCGGGGGGTTGGGGGGGACCAAGGCGACGGGGAGCTGGGAGGGGGAGGAGGGCGCACGGAAGCAGGAACAGGGAGGGGGAGCCCGGGGCCCCTGTACGGGTCTACAAAGGGTTAACTTTCCGGAACTGCGGGCTGGGGGCCGGCGGGAGGACAGTGCCGGGAGGGCGGACGGGTCCATTACACCTTTATTCACTCTGAGACACCTGGGGGTGCAATCCCACTTCCCGCCTGGCCTTCCGAGGGGCTCACCCGGGAGCCCCCTCTCCCACTCCTCAGTTCTGGGACCCGACGGCTCTGTGACGTTACAAGATGACCCTCAGTGGCGTTACACCCCGCATGGCCGCTGCAGTGTCGTCACCCTGGGGTGGGAGGTACAGGAGAGGAAGCTGGACCTGAGGAGGGGGCCTAAAGCAGCGTCTAGAGCTGTGGCGTCGGGGACATGGGGGAAGAAGAGTGGGGGAGCCCAGGGCTCGCAGAAGCTTTGTAGGAGTCTGGGCCTAGAAGGAATGGGGGGGGTCTAGGCACCAGTCAGGAGCTGGAGACCCCGGAAAACTTGAGAAGTGTGGTTTGCACTCCCTGGACATGAGTAAGGGGTTCCTCTATGGGGGTGTTGGGGGAAAGACGGCAGGAGAAGGGGGTGAGTGGAAGAGGAAGCCTCAGCAAATGAAGGGGAGGAGGATGGGTGGGCAGTGCCAGTTTCAGAGCCTTGCACCAAGCAGACCACGTCCAGGACCCATTTGTGGGCATTGGCAGAGCTCATGAGTGACAATGACTGAGGGAGACCAAGGGCTCAGCAGCTTGGCAGAGAGGGATCTCCAGGGGCAGAGTGGCAAGACCACTTCCTGCAGGAGTTAGAGTTCCTGGAGGTATGATATTGACAGGAAGGCCCTAAGCCATGTGGGGCAGAAGTCTCCTGAACAAGAGCAGGGAAATGAAAGACCCTGGCTCCATCAATTGAGGAAAGTTCTAAATGGAGGAGGGTGAATGTGTTCAGAGAGGAGATGGATTGTGTGGGGTGGGGTGGGGGTGGGGAGCAGTGCCAGGCAGGTAGGGTAGGTAGAAACTAGGGAGGGAGGGAAAGATCAAAGATTGAAGAAGAGTGAAGTCCACAGGAAGGCAGCAAGGCTGGCTGCAGGTCTGTGAGACCCTTCCACAGGGACATAAGGACAGCCTGAGGGTAGGGATGGGGGCAGTGAGTTAATTCAGGGAGTGGGGATTTGGGGAGAGTGTTGAAGAAAAACAAAGACAGTGGGCACAGTGGACACTGCACAAAAGTGAAACTGGGTTGAGGGGCTCCTTGTGGGGCTAGGATCTGGTCCCATCAAGAGGATAAAAGATTCCAGCAGAAACGGAGGGGCGCCTGGGTGGCTCAGTTGGTTAAGCAACTGCCTTCGGCTCGGGTCGTGATCCCGGGGTCCTGGGATCGAGCCCCGCGTCGGGCTCCTTGCCCTGTGGGGAGCCTGCTTCTCCCTCTCCTCCCCACTTGTGCTCTCTCTCACTATCTCTGTCTCTCTCTCTCAAATAAAATCTAAAAATAAAAAAAAATAAAAAAAAAAGAAAAGAAACGCAGTTGGAGAGATCCTGCACAACCTTTGGAATCTAGCCTCCTGGAGTCCCCCCCCCCCCCCCCGGCCCACCACCTCTTTTTCTTTTGCCTCCAGCCTTTGTCCCTGTGGTTCTCTTCTCCAGGACTGCTTTTCTCTGTGGAGGAAGAACTCCTATTCATCCATCAAAGCCCAGTTCTAAGAGCTCTTCTTCTGAGGAGCCTTCCCACCTTTCTCCAGCACTCCATACACCTTTTTCCGCTTCAGCGCACAACACATCCACCCCTCGGCCAAGATGTCGTGGTCCATCTCCCCTAGAGGCTGGTAGCCCCGGAACCCACCGTTGTCTTTTCTTTTTTTTTTAAAGATTTTATTTATTCGCCAGATAGACAGCACAAGCAGGCAGAGTGGCAGGCAGAGGGAGAGGGAGAAAGAGGGCTCTCCGCCGAGCAGGGAGCCGGACGTGGCGCTCGATCCCAGGACCCTGGGATCATGACCTGAGCCGAAGGCAGCCGTTTAACCGACTGAGCCACCCAGGTGCCCCGGAACCCACCGTTTTCGTTCTTGGAAGCTCACCGCAACCCTAGTGAGGAGACCGTGGGTAGACGGAGGAGAGGACTGGGATAAAATGGATCCAGAACACGGAGTAGAAACAGGGCGAGGACAGGGTCAGGACGCGGTGGGAGTCAGAGGACCGGTGGGGACCAAGAGCCAACGGATGGCCCCGAGGCCATGAAGATGTCTGCGGAGGAAAGAGAGCCTCTGGGGGGCGCCCGAGACCTTAGTGTCTGTCAGGGACCGCGCGTGGCCGCGCTGGCGGCCCCTCAATGAGTGACTCAGCTACTACCTCTGGCGGGGGCGTAGGGGTGGAGGACCGCGCGAGGGGCGGTGAGTGCGGCACCCACCCGCCCAGCAGCCCTGCGCGGTTGCTAAGCTCTCCAAGGCCTTAGAGAGACGCGATCTGCGCGAACCTCATCGGTTACTATGGTAACTCTGCGCCCCAGCCTCTCGCGCGCCACGGCTGAGGAAGGCGCAGCCAATCAGAAGCTGCAGGCGTTCTCGGGGACCCACTCCCACCCCCGACGTGTGGGCAGGGGTCAGGAGGTGCGGGGAGGAGGCACAGCGTGGGCCGCGGAGACCCGGCACTCACTACAGGCCCCATGCGGCGGGGGGCCGCGCGGGGACACTTCCGGAGTGCCCGCGCCAGTGCGGGGTCCCCTCCCTCCTATAAGGGGCGTCACCTGCAAGAACCGGGCCTTCACGTGGGATACAGAACCTTGCCGGGGGATCCTGGGGTGCAGTCCCTGCGGCCACGTTCCGGGTTGGTGGGTTGGAGACGAGGTTGAGCAAGCAGGTCCCTCAAAATGGCTCACACGGGGAATCTGGGGCCTGGGGTTCCTTCTGCGGGATCCCCAGGAGGCGCCGTCCAGCCATCCCCAGTCGAACGTCCTGGGGTCCCTCCAGAGACCTCTAAGTTCAGAGCAGGCTGATTGGGTAACGGCCCTGCCCAGGCTCATGGAGGGCAGCCTCCGGAGTATCCCCAGAGAGCCTTTTAGAAGGGGGCAGATGTGTGTTTGCGCCAACATGCGCGCCCGCAGGTGTCAGTGCCTGGAGAGGGTATGGGTGCAAATGGGTTTATTCCGTGCATACGTAAACCCATGTGGCTGAGTGAAGGTGGGTGTGTTGGGGGTGGGGTGGGTACAAACGGACAGTCCCATCCAGGAATGTCTAAGGAGTCGCCCCCCAAGATCTTGTCTACCTTCTTCTCTCTCACGACTTCCGTAACCTCCATCCCCCCCTCCCCCCCCCCTCTACTTGTCCCTAGGGTCCCCTCCTTGCGGGCAGGACTTCTTTTTTTTTTTTTTTTAAAGATTTTATTTATTTATTAATGAGAGAGAGAGAGAGAGGCAGAGGGAGAAGCAGGCTCCCAAGGAGCAGGGAGCCCGATGCGGGACTCGATCCCAGGACCCTGGGATCATGACCTGAGCTGTAGGCTGACGCTTAACCATCTGAGCCACCCAGGCGCCCGCGGGCCGGACTTCTCCAAACTGAGGCAATGTGAGAATCTAGAAATATGTACATGGGAACGTTGAGCTCAAAACCCCAGAGTTTGTGGGGCTCGAAGTTTCGGGGCCTGGGTCCTTACGTGGGCACATCTGGGAGGGTGGCCCTGTGAACAGACCCCTCTCCCGGGTCCAGCTCCGCATCTGTGAGCCTCCAGCCCAACCCAGGTGCGCGGGAGGGAGGTCGCGGAGGTGCCGCGCAAAGCCCCGCACGGCCGCGAGGTGGCGCCATAGCAGCAGGAGCGCGTGCCGGCCCGGGCCGCTCCAGATAAGAGTGCGCGGAAAGCGCGGCGGGGCTGAGACGCGACCAGGACGCGGGGAGGACGGACCAGCAGGACAGACCGACCGGGGGCCCGGCGGGCGGAGGGCAGCGCAGCGCAGCCACGTCCCCCCCTGGATCCGCCGGCAGCCGGGCCCGGGGCTTCCGACATGCCCCCCAGGTGGGTCCTGAGGCTCGGGACCGGGAGGGACAGGGGACCCGGACAGCCCGGTCCTTACGCGCTGGCCGTCTCGGGCGCATCCTCTGGCGCGGACGCCCCAACGCGGCTGGCGTTCAGGACTCCGGGTGTCGTTCCCTAGAGGACTCAGGACCGCCGGGACGCTGCTCTGCGCCGGGTTCACGGCGGGGTCAGCGGCCCGGGGCCGACTCTGCCCGCACATGGGCCGGAGAGGCGAAGGGAAGGGAAGGGGAGCTGGCGGGCGGGGCTGGCAGGGGCGCTGCCCTGGCACAGCTCGGCGCCTGGCAGCGGGGCGGGTGGGGCGCCGGCTAGGAGCTGCCACCGCCACGGGGAGGGAAGCCGGGTCGCGTTGCGGCCGCAGGTAACGGGCCGCGAGGCCCTGCGGGGCCAGGCCGGGAACAGGGTGGGCGGGCGGACGAGCCGGCAGGGGAGCTCAGGGCTCGGCTCAGGCTCCAGGGCCGCCTGGCTGCCGAATATTGGGGGCCGAGAGGAAAAGCTGGGAGTCGAGGGACTGGGGCTGGCGCGCTTCTCCCCGGCCTGTCAGAAGTTGGGAAACTTTTCCCCAAGTTTGGGGCGGCGGAGTTCCCGTTGCAGAGGGGGCCGAAGGGAGCTGGGGCGGGAGGCGCCGGGGCCCGCGACTGCAGAGCCGAGGCCGAGGGCCGGGGCCGGGACGCGGGTGGGGCGCAGGCCGGGGTCAGGGCCGCAGCCGGCTGTGCGCCGTGCCCGCCCGGGGCGCTGCCCCCCTCCCTCCCCTGGGAGCTGCGTGGCTCCCCCCTCCCCCCCACCTGCTTCCTGCCTCAGCCTCCTGCCCCGATATAACGCCCTCCCCGCGCCGGGGCCGGCCTTCGTGCTCTGCCCGCCACGGCAGCCTCTGCCTCCGCTCCCCGCGCCGCGGCCGCGCCTCGGCCCCATCTGAGGGCCTGACAGCCCCCGGGCAGGGCGGCGCCACGGCGGGCACCGCGCTCCCCTCCACTGGATCACTTCCCCCAGCTGGGGCAACTTCTCCCGAGGCGGGAGGCGCTTTGTTGTTGTTGTTGTTGTTTTTGTTTTTTTTTTACTCGGCTCCCTTATATCCCAATCGGGCAAACTTCTCGGCCCTGAATGACTTTTCCTGAAGCGGACATTTTCCTCAAATCCGGTAACTGTCTCCGAAGGGGTCACTTCCCCCAAACAGTTTTCTCCTCGGAAGTCCCCAGAGCCCAGCCTGTGTGCCCGGTGGCACCCGGGCCTGGGCCGTGCAGGCCAGCCTGGCCTCGTCTCCAGCAGCCACGCTCAGACGCCCTTCTTCTGGGTCCAGGCCCCCGGCCCAGGCTTGCACACTCGGAGGCCGCCGCCGCCCCACTGCCAGTACCCAGGCCGCGGTGCTCGATGCCCCTGCCTGGCTGAGGGCAAGGGGGAAGGGGAAGTTGGGGGGGGGGCGCGGGGAGAAGCGCCCAGCTGGATAGAGGCGGCCAGGGCTGGGTGAGGCGCTGACCCGGCTGCCGTGTATCCCTGCAGGAGAGTGTGCTGGGCAGACGATGCTGGACACGATGGAGGCGCCGGGCCACTCGAGGCAGCTGCTGCTGCAGCTCAACAACCAGCGCACCAAGGGCTTCTTGTGCGACGTGATCATCGTGGTGCAGAACGCCCTCTTCCGCGCGCACAAGAACGTGCTGGCGGCCAGCAGCGCCTACCTCAAGTCCCTGGTGGTGCATGACAACCTGCTCAACCTGGACCATGACATGGTGAGCCCGGCCGTGTTCCGCCTGGTGCTGGACTTCATCTACACCGGCCGCCTGGCAGATGGCGCAGAGGCGGCGGCGGCCGCGGCCGTGGCTCCGGGGGCCGAGCCGAGCCTGGGCGCAGTGCTGGCCGCCGCCAGCTACCTGCAGATCCCCGACCTCGTGGCGCTGTGCAAGAAGCGCCTCAAGCGCCACGGCAAGTACTGCCACCTGCGGGGCGGTGGCGGCGGCGGCGGCGGCTACGCTCCCTACGGGAGGCCTGGCCGGGGCCTTCGGGCCGCCACGCCCGTCATCCAGGCCTGCTACTCGTCCCCGGCCGGGCCCCCGCCGCCGCCAGCCGGTGAGCCGTCCGCGGGCCCCGAGGCCGCGGTGAACACGCACTGCGCGGAGTTGTACGCCTCGGGCCCCGGCCCGGCCTCCGCACTCTGCGCCCCGGAGCGCCGCTGCTCCCCGCTCTGCGGCCTGGACCTGTCCAAGAAGAGCCCGCCGGGCTCCGCGCCTCCCGAGCGGCCGCCCGGCGAGCGCGAACTGCCCCCGCGCCCAGACAGCCCTCCCAGTGCCGGCCCCGCAGCCTACAAGGAGCCCCCGCTCCCCCTGCCGCCGCTGCCGCCGCTGCCCTTCCAGAAGCTGGAGGAGGCCGTACCGCCTCCGGACCCGTTCCGTGGCGGCGGCGGCGGCGGCGGCGGCAGCCCGGGACCCGAGCCCCCGGGCCGCCCCGACGGGCCCAGCCTCCTCTACCGCTGGATGAAGCACGAACCAGGCCTGGGCAGTTACGGCGACGAGCTGGGCCGGGAGCGCGGCTCCCCCAGCGAGCGCTGCGAGGAGCGCGGCGGGGACCCGGCCGCCTCGCCTGGGGTGCCTGCTCTAGGCCTGGCGCCGCCGCGCTACCACGGCGGCCTGGACGGGCCAGGCGCGGGTGGCGACGGCGACGACTATAAGAGCAGCAGCGAGGAGACAGGCAGCAGCGAGGACCCCAGCCCGCCCGGCGGCCACCTCGAGGGCTACCCATGCCCGCACCTGGCTTACGGCGAGCCCGAGAGCTTCGGTGACAACCTGTACGTGTGCATACCGTGCGGCAAGGGCTTCCCTAGCTCGGAGCAGCTGAATGCGCACGTGGAAGCTCACGTGGAGGAGGAGGAGGCGCTGTACGGCAGGGCCGAGGCGGCTGAGGTAGCTGCGGGGGCCGCCGGCTTGGGGCCCCCTTTTGGAGGCAGTGGGGACAAGGTCGCTGGGGCTCCGGGCGGCCTGGGTGAGCTGCTGCGGCCGTACCGCTGCGCGTCGTGCGACAAGAGCTACAAAGACCCGGCCACGCTGCGACAGCACGAGAAGACGCACTGGCTGACCCGACCCTATCCTTGCACCATCTGCGGGAAGAAGTTCACGCAGCGCGGGACCATGACGCGCCACATGCGCAGCCACCTGGGCCTCAAACCCTTCGCGTGCGACGCGTGCGGCATGCGCTTCACGCGCCAGTACCGCCTCACCGAGCACATGCGCATCCACTCGGGCGAGAAGCCCTACGAGTGCCAGGTGTGCGGCGGCAAGTTCGCCCAGCAACGCAACCTCATCAGCCACATGAAGATGCACGCCGTGGGTGGCGCGGCAGGCGCAGCCGGAGCGCTGGCCGGCCTGGGGGCGCTGCCCGGCGTCCCCGGCCCCGACGGCAAGGGCAAGCTCGACTTCCCCGAGGGTGTCTTTGCTGTGGCCCGCCTCACGGCTGAACAGCTGAGCCTGAAGCAGCAGGACAAGGCAGCGGCGGCCGAGCTGCTGGCGCAGACCACGCACTTCCTGCACGACCCCAAGGTGGCGCTCGAGAGCCTCTACCCGCTGGCTAAGTTCACCGCCGAGCTGGGCCTCAGCCCGGACAAGGCGGCCGAGGTGCTGAGCCAGGGAGCGCACCTGGCCGCCGGACCCGACGGCCGGACCATCGACCGCTTTTCCCCCACCTAGAGCGCCTCTTGCCGGTCCGCCTTCGTCGCCGCCGCGTGGCACCGACCCGTGCCCGCCCCCCGCCCCCCACTCCCCCCACCCCCGCCGGGGAACGACGGCAGCCGCCGCGAGCAGGCACACGGCGCCCGGACGACTGTAGCAGCCCCGGCAGCGTCGCCGCACTGGCGGCGGCCCCACCTGGCCTCACTGCTTTGTGCCTTAGCCCGGGGGTGGGGGTGGGGGTGAAACCCCGGGACGGGGGTGGGATGGGGGAAGGGAGATTTATATTTTTGATATCAGCTTTGACCAAAGGAGACCCCCGGCCCTTCTCCGCCTCTTCCTGTGGTTCGTTGGCCCCCTCCCCCCCGGCTCCGTGCTGCTCTTGGAGGGAGGGGTGTCACTGTTGGGACGCTCCCAGCCCTACCTCCGGCCCTTGCGACCACACCCATTCTCACTGTGAATCTCCCCGCTGGGGTCGGAGCGTCGGGCAGAGTTGGGGAGCGGGGAGGGGACTGAGCCGGCCGGAGGGCCCCCCGCCCCCCGCTCCCGCCCGCCCCGGGACTGATAATGTGAAGTTCCTCATTTTGCACAAGTGGCACTAGCCCCAGGGCCAACCCTTCCCTCCCTCTGGAGTCAGAGGGCTGAGGCAGCCCTGGCCTACCGGTCTCCCACTCTCGCGGTGTCCTCCCTATCCCTCCCTTCCCTGGGGCCCCCCCGGACCATATTTATTGCATGCGCCCCGGGCGGCCCCCCACCCCGAGCCCAGGCTGGGCTGGGCTGGAACGTGGTCTCTTTAGCTCCCTCCTCCCCGTTTGTATATTTCCTACCTTGTACACAGGCTCTTCCAGAGCCGCTTCCATTTTCTATACTCGAAACCAAACAGCAATAAAGCAGTAACCAAGGACCCTGGACCCCGCTGCTCTCTTCTGCCCTGTACAAGGACCTGGGTGGGTGGAGGGGCCAGACACAGCTCCCTCATACAAGTGCAGAGAGGCTTGGACCTTCTTCCCTTCCCAGCCCCAGAGACAGATGGGCAAAGAGGTCAGGCATGTTCATAACTAAAAATTTATTAAGGAAACAAAACCAGTGCTGCAAATGGGACAGAAAGGAGATGGGTCTCCCACCCACCCAGTCATTGGCCTTCACCCAGGGGAGAGGATCTCAAAGAAGAGGCCGGGACCCTGTACCCCAAAGAGCCAGTCTTCTGAGGCCCTTGGGGGACTTATACCCCCAAACCACTGGTGGCTCTCCTGCACAGTACGCCCTCCTCCTGGTATAATCTTGGGCCTCTGGGAGGGTAGCGCTTTGCTCCCATCCTCTAGGAAGCCTGTACAGTCCAGACGGGAGCTCTGGGGGATTCCCCCTCTGGTCCCATCAAAATTGACTCCTGGCTCCTCCTCAAAGTCCTGTCTTCCTCCAAGTTCCTTTCATCCCTGTCCCTGGGTTGGGAGAGCCTATTCCCAGTAGGAAGCCCCTCGAGGGAGGCTCCGGACACAGGTGCCAGCTAAAGAGGCAACAAAAACCTCAAAGGCCAAAAGGCCCTTGTGTCAAGTTCTTCTAGGGCAAAGCTAGAAATGGTGTACAGTCCAGGCTCGGCGATGCCCCTCTCAGGCACTGGCCCACCCTACCCTCAGGCTGGTCTGCAGGAGCCTGGAAGTTTCTCAGAGCACAAGGGGTCTGAGAAAGAAGGTCAGGGCAGGAAAGCTTTATTAGGTTCCTGGCACAGAGAAGGAAGTGGTACCAGAGGAGGTACCAGAGGAGGACGATTCAGATTGGGAACCCCCACGGCAAGGACCTGAAGTGAAGAATTTGAGGGGACTGGGGAGGTAAGAGGGACCAACTAGAAAGGGAAGGAGGCCAAGGGGATGGTTCAGGAGGGAGAGGGGGAGGAGGGAGGAGGGGGGAACTGAGAAGAGTCTGAAGAAATTTCGTGAAATGGGAACTAGAGCAAAAGGAAGGCTAATGAGGGAGAGGAGAAGGCAAAGGCCACCCAGGAAGCGGGAGTCTGAGACCAGGTGTCCCTTCCCTCTAGACCCACGACCGTCCAAAGGGGAACGAGGGGCAAAGTGTAATGGACTCAGAATGAGGAGCACAGGAAGAAGAGCAGCAGGATGCATGTGTGTCTGGGGTAGGGGGTAGAAAAGGTGGGGCCTAAGGCTGCTGTTCGGGACATGGTGTCCAGAACCCAACTGGGGTCCAGCGGGGAATCCAGGCCTCAGAGAGACACACCCTGGGCATTCTCTTCATGGCATGACCAAAGCCTCTTGGGACACATTCAGCACAGGGGTTCTGAAGATCATTTCACCTGCACCTGATGGAAATGCAACCCCCTGCCCTGTCTCCAGCTGAGAAAGTGGCGGAGTCCCTGGGCTGAGAAGGCCTTCCGCAAGCCCTTGAACTAGACAGGGGGAGGGAGAAAGGCTGAGACCGTGGGCGGCCTATCTGGCTCACCCACCTGCTGTCACTGCAGCCAGCCACCGCCCTGCTAAATCTTGGCAGCCCAGGAGGGTCCCAGCAGCTTCCGCCCGACCCTCAGGAGGGGCTCTGTGAGGAGCAGCTCCCCCACAGCACGGCCACGGCGTGGGTTGGAAGAGGATGGTTTATTGTCTGGGTGGATTGGTGGCTCAGGCACGTGGGCATCACCGGTGCTACACTGGGCGCCTGGTGGCCTCTCAGGAATGGTTCCACGACGCGGGGGGGGGCCCCGGTGCCGCCCCCTCAGCCCACCTGGGCCCACGCGAGGAAGGCCGGGATGTCCCGCACAGGCACGTTCCTCGTCAGTGCCTTCACGCGCAGGTTGCGATCGTCTGTCAAGAGCACCACCTCCCGCAGCAGCCGGATCGGCTCCTCTGTAGACATGAGAGCAGAGGGACTTCGCTGAGGGCAGGGGGCAGAGGCACGGGCTGCCTCTCCTCCCTCCGAGGGGAATGTGGCCCGGGAGGGGTCAGTGCCAGCCATTTCTTGGCCCTTCTACAAGTCTTTCCCTCACGCGATCAGCGAGGGTACCCCTCCCCTACTGGCTTAGAGAGGACCATGCTGGGCCAGGGCTGGCCTTCTGCTTTAGACCCCCGCCTCCAGCCTGGGATGGAGCTGCCTCGTGTCCAGAGACCTGCCCAAGCCACTAGCCTCCACAGACCCCTCTCCTGGGACGCTGAACTGAGGGGAGTAGAGGAAGCCCCTTTCCTTCTGCTCCTTTGGGCTGTATGGCTCGTCCTGGGCTCACAGGTACTCCTCTCTTCCTGCACATCCTTTCCCTCCAAGGCTAGGAGGTCAATGCTTTAGGTATCAAGAGGTAGAAAGCTCAAGATGGAATCCAAAGTGAATCCAGGCTCCCAGAGATGAGGAGAGGGGTTAGTTCAAGGGACCTCTGAGGAGAGGAGGGCAAGGGTCCCTGGCAAGGCCGTGCCAAGGTGGCCCTGAGTGAGAGCCAAATGATTTCCTCCATTACATGAAAGTAAGCGACGTAAATGGTGAGAACCTCTAACAATACAGAAGAGGACAAATGAAAGGAAAAACCAAAGCCATCCTCCTAGTTTCTCCCTTCGTGTGTCTCTGTCTTGTTCTCCAGGGCTAGATCTATGCGTGCTTCTGGATTTTTTAATGCACATGTGCAAGTATATATCCTTGTTACATAAGCTTTTTTTCCAACAACATTACAATCATACTAGCTGTATTTACTTTATTCAAATTTTATATAGCTTTAAGCTCTTTCTATATCAGCACCAGCAGCCTTTGTTCTTTTTAGATGACCTCTTAGCAAGATGTCTTCCACTACTTTTCCCTAATTCCCTAACCTTTTAATGTATTGGAGAGAATTTAAGCCAGGGCCAAGTCCCCACACAAGTGACATCCCCAGCCCTGGTCAGGCCGCTCAGTGGCAGGCCCACCCCTCAGCCCAGGGCTGGGTATTTCCTGACGGAGGTCCGGCAGACAGTGAGGCACAGGAAATGTCCTGCGGGGCTTACTGACTGCGGGGGGCTGGCGGGGCTGGGCAATTGCAAATGTCCAGGTCTGGACCTGAGCAGTTTCAGGCTTGCCAGTTCCAGGCAGGGAGGCTGAGAACTGGCTGTCAGCCTGGGAGGAGTTTGGGGGAAGAGGGAGGGAGAGGCTCGTGAGGCTGACGCTGGTGGGAGAAGGGGCCAGGCGGAAGGAGAAGGGGTGGGAGGTGAGGGTTGCGGTGGGCAGACGGTGGGCAGATGGGGAGAGGGAGGCCACATGAGCAGAGAGGATGCTCTCAGACGGCTCCATGGCCTGGGCCTGGCCCCTCAGGCGTGGGTGGTGCCGGGCTGTGCTTTCTGAGCTTCCCAGCTGGCTGCTCGACGCAGCCCCGCCACTCCTGTCCTGGGGCTCAGAACGAGAGTCCCAGGCCTTAGGATAGTCGACTAAGGCCCGGCATTGCTGGCAGGGGTCTGCAGGGGTTTCTGTGGATACTTTCAGACATTTTTAACAATAAACATCCTCTGTTTTGACACTGGTAACTTCACTTTGTTAGAAACCAGAGACTGTCATCTTGTCAGGCCCCATCCGCCATAATCCACATGATTTTAAAATTCAACATCGTTTACACATAAACATTTAGTGACGGTTTCTCTGTGTATCTGACAAGTTAATCTGCTAAGAATTCACACTGACAAATGGGGTTTGATTACACTAGCCGTTGCTGATGTAATTGTGATAGGGGCGGTCCCCAGGATGGCAATGGGTTCCTGCAGGCTGTTTGGGGCGAAGTGGGGGGGGGGTGGAAAGACTAGTAAGGCCAAAGCCAAAATGTGTCTCTGCTAAGAAAGAAACAGCTCTGAGGCTGGGTGGGGCCGTAGCAGTATCTGAACCATACTTCCCAACAAGGCCTTCTGCAATGCCGCCTACCTCTCCCTCAGAAAGTGCCCCTCTAGGAAGCTGCCTGGAAACAGAGCCCAAGCTCCTCTGTTTGGCTCAGCCAGGACTCCTTTCTACCACTTCTGCTCCAGGTCTGTCCCTCAGGGACAGAACGTGCAAGCCAGGTGGCAGGACCCCTCTGAAGAACAGCACTTGTGGGCTCATTCTCAGCCCCTGGTGCAGAGACTCAGGCTGCACTGACACAGGTGGCAGGAGCAGCAGGAG